ATTCTGGTATAAGTCTTGTAGTACATTGATAAAGGATCATGTATAGGACTTATGTATATGTTTATTTTGATAATGGATAAACATTTGACATTATGCAAATGTGTAATGGAGTTATGAGATATTTATGTTCAAGAATGTATGATGAGATTATGTATGAGATGCAAATGTTTATGTTTAGTTAGAGGATAAAAAGATGTGAATGATAACCTATGCCAACGGATGCTAGGTGATTTCATGAGAATATGATGTAAAAATGTTTAGCATGAATATGAGCCAATGAGGTATATTGCATAATGTTAAAAAAATGAGAGTCAAGTACATGCGACGTAAGATAGGCATGAAAGTAAGATTTTTCCATTTTGGCACTCATGCAAAGATGTAAGTCTTGAACATAAACAATGAGAGGGGTTTATGTTGAGTGTACCTAAATGTAGAGTTATATGAATGAGATGGCTCGATATGCAAGTAATATGCCTAAGGATAGCTTGAGGCTCAAGTTACATATGTACTAATAGATTACCCAATGAGAGGGGTTTATGTTGAGTGTACATATGTATATTGATCATAAAATGGAATGGTTTGTCAATTAGGTGGCAAATGGGGTAAGATTTTTCCCCAAGAGAGGAAGTGACTCGAAATGAACACATTTGTGTTGTAGAAAATGAATTTGAAGTGAGCGCTAAAGTGCGCAAGAGAGAACTTAGTGTAACGCCTCATTCGCGACCCGTCATGTTATCATTATTTATGATATTAAGCACAGTTTCAATCATAACAGTTCATTTTAAAATACAAGAAAACTTTTTCTTTTTAACCACGCTTGCATTTATAAAAACCCGTATTAAATACTTTACCAAAATGTGATCGTAATTCAAAACAATATCAGAATCATAAAAACTATGGTTTAACATCATACAACGTCTATTTAAAGTTGCTAAGTGGTTCCTATAAACCAAAATGCAAAAATACACAATTTGGGGTTTTATCTACTTGAGGTACACTCAGTTTTTCCAAAAATGAAGATGAATTACAAATCCTCAAAATCCCATCTTTTGATATGTTAAACTAGACTCTTCTAACTTTCTAACAAGGTATCACAAGCCTCAATTGGAGTTCTATAGCTCCAGATACGCTCACCGTAAGTTAATTTCTTAAAACTATCAACATTGCACCAATGGGTCCACTAACATCCTTCACAGCTTTTTGAACTGCAGTCGTTCTAATTCGTTGTTCCCCAAATTTTACTATGTTATAGTAGACACCTCAAGCTTCAATTTGATATATCATAAGTCTAATTTTGGTAAGAAATGAGAGAGATATGAATTTTTCAATAACGTAAACCAATGCTACAAATTACAATGCGAACCAAAATAGCCTGCAATGAAACGTAAACCGTGCATTTTCAACAACTCCAAATGACGTCAAATTCTATGACAATGTAGGGGACATCCTAAGCTTCAACGTAAGGTACGGTATGCCTTAATTGGATCATTATGGAGATAGTTATGGTCTCTCAAAGTTAGGGTAAAATCACACTATTATTCTAGAAAATTCAGCATGGTCTCCTTTGTTTTAACAACTTTTTTTTCACTTTATAAAAGTGTGTTCCAGGACACGAAAATGGTATCTAATTGACCAAAAAGGTGTCACCAAAAGATCAACATACATTGGTGCACTTACAACCCACAATATAGAAAGTAATATATTTCTTTGAACTCCACCTAATCCCCCAATTTTAGAATAATAGAAATAAAAACCCCAATAAATCATAAAATTATGGTTTTAGCCATTTAAAAATTTCAAATTAACGCAACGACCTCATCTACCTAGAACCTGAACAATAAAAACATTCTGGTATAATAAAAAAGAAGAAGAAATTATTCGTGATTATTTTGAAATTTTTGAAGTTAGAATTGATTTTGTAAGATTCTGGAAATTATTTAAAGGTTGCAGCTGTTGTTGTTTGAACCCGGGACATTAGTGGATGTGCAAAATGTTACCACAAAACTAACATCATATTATTTCAATTATTTTTTATGGGAAAAAAGTTTCCGATGTTACTTTAGATAACTTTATCTAATGTTCATCGAAACGACGTCGTTTTGGGGTTAAAAAATTAAAAAATTAGAGTAATAAAGACTATTATAACCCTGAAATAAATTAAAATTACAAAAATACCATGATTTCCGTCCCAAAACGACGTCGTTTTGATAAACATTAGATAAAGTTATCTAAAGTAACATCAGAAAAAATAAACCCATTTTTTATTTACCAATTATCCATTGTTAGAGCTATCAAAGTTAGTCCACCGCATTAGGTCATAATCCATGTGAGTTAGGTAAAAAATTCACAGGGCTAAAAAAGCCCACAGTTGAAAAAGGTTACACAAGTCAAAAGTCCTGCAAAGCTCTATAAGTTAGAGTCAACCCATGGCTTATTAAAATTACCATTCAATATATTTAAAATTATTATAATAAATAAATATTTGCACACAAATTATAAAAGTACAAATGTAAGCAAAATTTGAATTATTTGTCCAATAATCCTTGATTAGTTGGTTTTATATAAAAAAAACATTGAAATCCTTGTTTCTTATTATATTATGGAATAAAGATATTTATTATTAAGTAATACTTACAATAAAGATTTTTATTATTCAGCAATACTTTTAGTATAGTGAAAAATATAGCAGTTTCATTTATTTAGTAAAAAATAGTTAATCAAAACTTGGTATAACCCTCTCAACTCTTTTTGCTATTATAAATCAAGTAATGCTGAAATTTTAAGTAATTTTTCGTAATTTAATCTTCTTACTATAGGAAAAATTTGAGGGCAAGAGGGAAATCCCTAGAAGGGGGATTAGTCTCATCATTCTTCCAATGAATATGGTCCAATGCACCTTCTGTTACAATGAAAAGCCAGTATTAGGGGCAATACTCCAAGGATAAGGTGACTAGAGAAGGTTGTGTGGGGATTCTAGTGGCTTCTAAGTTATCTACAAAAATAAATAATTCAAAATAATAATTAAATTAAATAAAAATTTCCTACTTATTCGTTAAAATATATATTTTATAGAATTATATATGTAAACTAGTTTTTATTATTATATATATATATTAAGAAAAATATTTTTGTTTTTATTACATACAATTTATTTTTGTCACGTTCATATAAAAGTAGGCCACATTATAATAAGCAGAGAGATAAAAGGTTAATGAAATATAATGGGACTAGGAGTGTAAATGGGCCAGCGGCCTAATAGGGGTTTATGACCCAACATATATTAGGTTAGTCTCAGCCTATTACATAAAGTTAAATAGAACAGGCTCAGTCTTTTAAAACAATCTATTTAGAAAATAGGCCATAAGCTTTCTTTTACGTGTCAGACCTATAAGTCTACAGGCCGGCTTATATCATATTATTTATTTTAAATAAAAAATAAAATTATTACTTTAATAATTTTGAATAATAAATTAATATTATTTTAATTATTGAATGCCTAATAAGTTTAAACAGGCAAACAATATTAGGCTAAGACTTTTTAAAAAAAAATATATGCCATACCACACTTATAATTTAGGCCTACATAAGGCTAACAGATCATACAAGGCCTAAAGTATTTTACACATATATAACCTATTTAGCCAAAATTTAGCCCAACTAAACCCATTTATATCGCTAACTGAACCATTTATTTTTATGTGAATGTGGTAGAACAAATTTGCAATAAAAATAAAAATATTAAAATCAAATTTAAAAGTAAAATCTCTTTTGGGTCCTTAACAAAAAATAATGTCTCCACTTTTGTCCCTTACAGAAAAAACCCATATTAACCCAATTTTTTCTGAGGAACCACATTTACAAAGAACTGAAATTATAGAGGGACTAAAAATTGACTTTTTTTTTCTAAAGAACGAAAGTGGAAACCGTATTTTTTGTTAGGGATCCAAAATGGACTTTACTCCAAAAAAATTTAAATATTAGAAATTGTGATAAAAAAATAGCCGGTACAAAAATTCCAACATATTCGATATATCACATTATTTTGAAGATTAAAAATCTTACCATAAAATAGGCTTTATGGATTCGGGCCAAATTTAAAATCAGTGACTTAGCTAGCGGATTGTGAAAAGAGGGAATTTTCTAAAGTGATCCCGACCCATGTTCTTTAAGGTGATCCTTTCCTATTTTTGGAAAATTTTGTTTCCCTCCCAATCCCTCCCTTTTTAAAGAATTCCCTCCCACTCCCTATTTTTTACTAATTCTGGATGGGGACCATGTATACCCGATCCATCAAAATAAACCTCGTGAAAGAGTGATTTACTGTACTCACGAATGATTCAATTCCCGGAATAGTGACCAAAATGTAACGTTTTGTCAAAATTTTTACCCAAATATCAAGTAAACAGTATTTTTTACAAGACTGCCACATGTCATAATTCGCTACCACTGGTAGCGATTTTGTGGCCAATAATTTCGTGACACGTGGTCATATTGCAGACCAAATTCGCTACCAGTGGTAGCGAATTATGACACGTCAGCTTTTTTCTGCGAAAGTGTGCCACGTGTCAAAAAATCATTCGCGAACATAATATGCTACACAGGGTAGCGAATTACTACCTGCTTATGTGTCATTTTTGTTGATTGTGCATTCTGACGTTGCATAATTCGCTACACTATGTAACATTATTTGCAAGCATATTTCGCTATACAATGTAACAAATTATCCCACGTGACATTATGGAAAAATTGACTGTTAACGTGACAGCCCCAAACGTGACAAAATAGTAACTCTTTCTCAATTCCCAGCTGAATCAGAATTCGGTCCAATTTTAATATTAGACATTTAATTTTCAACGTGTCCTGCTTTACCTTTCCGAAAAATTATTTATTAATACTTCTGTGAAGGCTAGCGCAGGAGAACGCAGCCTATAGCACGTGCACCACGTGCAGCATAACAAAACCTGGAAGGAGACGACAATGACATGACTCATGAGTCATGAGCACCAAGCGCGACAACTGGGGGATGAAGTGAAGAGTATCGCGAACCGAGAGTGAGAAATCCAAACTCGAAACTGCATATGGATGCTACCGAATCACTAAAGGATCCGATTCCTCTGGAGAACCGACCCGGAATCTTCATGATCGGATCCTCCAACGTCGGCAAACGGACCCTCCTATCCCGTAAGTGTCTTTCCCTCGTTATAATTATTTTTTATTCAATTTTCCGTTTTTGTTAATTTACCCATTAACCTTGTTTACACTCGTTCTAAGCTTTAATTTTAGGTTATGGTTTGTGATGTCTGATAAAACTGTTTTAAAACCACATCTTCAGCATAATTCGTGCTTAGATTAGATATCATATTTTATTTCAGGGGCTTTAATAAAGGTGTGATCATTTTTATGTTTTGCATTTTAACCTAGATGCTTTAGCATCAATTTGTTGATTCTAATTTTAGCATCATTTTTTCAATTTTTATTTCTTGTTGCGTTTACATGTGGTGAAATTTGATTTGATATGCATTGTTTGTTGATGTGGAGTGTAGGATTGCTCTCTGTTGATTTTGAAGATGCTTTTGATTCGGCTTCTGAAGTAAATGTCCATGGGTATGTTACTATGTTGACCGAGATTAATTTTATTAAACTGATTGCTTAATGCTTATGAATCTTTTCAAATTTATTCTCTTTGTGTGTTTGATTTGGTCATTGAATGAACAGGTGGACTATCAACACTAAGTATTATACTGCTGATGTTTCTGTATGGATGGCTCATCTTCGTGATGATTTTTCTGTTGGAAACCTACCCTTGTTTCCACAAATGACTGCTTTGGTGATGGTTTTTGACATGAATGATGTTTGTTCCTTCACTTGACTCTCCTTTAATTTGTTCTGTTTTCATTGTTAATTAACTGTTGTTTTAATATTCATGTGCTGAAGAATTATTCTTGAACTACTTTCCTGTTTTTCATGTGCCTTGAGTATGCATTAACAGTGACATATGCATGTAATGTATCCTTTTTTTTTACTAATTATGTGCAGTTATCCACCCTAACTGCACTTCGAGATTGGGTATCTCGCACCAATATTGGAAACTTTGAGATATTACTATGTATTGGAAACAAAGTGGACCTGGTTCCTTGTCATCCAGCTCATGCTGAATACAGAAGACGGTTGCTGAAACTTGAGGACTCTGCTGTTGATCTTTGTTCGGAATTCTCTGAGTATGGAATATCTGAATCTGAAGGAACTAGTTTATTGGGGGATGAAGAACCATCATGGGATATCAGAAGGTCCTCCTTGGAATGGTGCACTGAGCACAATATTGAGTTCATTGAGGCTTGTGCTTCCAACGCTGATTTTGACAAATGTAAAACTTCACTTCCTGTTTTGATGAGCTGGTCTATAAAACATGTTGCACATAACTCTGATTTTTACTTTGACAAATGCTCAGTTTTACATATAGATGAATCATAATTAATACATTATTAATGAGAGAGAGAGAGGTGGCTTAGATACAACGAATTATTTGAAAGATTATAAATAGTATATCATTGTAAGAACATCATCATGTCCAAACTTTTTCTGCTAACCACAAAATTAAGGTTCGAATGATGAAACATTGGAAAATTACTTTCAACATCAACACCAACAACACCTTTATCCCAAATTAATTGGGATCGGTGGTAGATGAACCCAAATAAAAGATACAAAAAGGTTGAAAAAAAAGGAAAAATAAAAGTAAAAATAAAAATAAAAATAAAAATAAATAAATAGAATAGTAAATATATATACATATATACATATATATATATATATATATACATATATATATATATATATATATATATATATAAAAGTTAAAAAAGAAAGGGAAAAGAAGAAGAGGGGGAAATGAAGGGGAAAATGACTAAAAAAGGACCATCTGGAACATAGGAATAACAACGGGTGTAACCCTCCACCATGCTTACAGCTTTTCTCCATTCCGTTCTAAGGCATACTGTCCGTCAATCTATATCCCACTCCATTAAATCTTGTTTTACTACCTTCTCCCAAGTAAGTTTCGGTCTACCTCTACCTTTTTTTGTGTTGAGCTCTTGGTAACAAACTTCTGTTCTTACGAGAGCATCTAGGAGCCTTCTCATTACGTGTCCAAACCACCTCAATCTATGTTCTCTCATCTTCTCAGCCACCGGTAGTACTCCTATCTTTCGTCGAATATCTTCATTTCTTATCTTATCCATCCTCGTATAACCACACATCCATCTTAACATCCTCATCTCTGCTACTCCCATTTTATGCTCATGTTGCCTATGTGTTGGCCAACATTCAGCTCCATATAGCATTGTAGGTCTTATTGCTGTTCTATAGAATTTTCCTTTTAACTTAAGGGGGATTTTGCGGTCACACAAAAACTCAGATGCACTACGCCATTTCATCCACCCTGCTCTGATTCTATGATTTACATCCTCATCAATCTCTCCACTTTTTTGCAAAATGGAAAATTACTTTCATATTATATAATTTCCATACATGTATTGCATTATGGATATAAAAGAACTGCTGTTTACAGGCTTGTCCATAGACGGTGATTTACATGGAGTTGAACGTCTCTGTGGAGCTCTTTCTGCTCATATGTGGCCTGGAATGGTATTGAAATCTGGTGATAGGATAAGGCAACCATCATTTCCTAAGGAAGAAGGTCTTTTTCTCTTTTTCTTTGGAGCATGTAGCTTGCCATTTTCAATAGTGTAAAATAAATGTAACCACTAATTTTGGTTTATCCTTTTTATTATTTTCTTCAGAGTTGTCTTCAGAAGAATCTGATTATGAACCGGAGTATGAAGTTTTATCCACTGGCTCAGCCAATCCCTGGGATGAAACTGAACAAGAATGTGTTTCTGCAACTTCCTTAGACACAGGCAGGTCTGCTTCTCGAAACAATATCAACACATGTTGTGAACATGAGGATGGAATTAAATCTGGTAAAGAGTTCCAGCCCACAGCTTCAAGCACTGCATTTCAGGATGAGAGTGACAAGGAAGTGGTGCACAATATCATGGATTCTGAAGGAGATGGGAAGGAAGACAATGATAAATATCTTGACTTAGAGGGTTTGGAACATTTGATGTCTGAGATTGGGAATATGCGTGCAGGCTTAAGATTGATGCCTGATTTTCAAAGAAGGGAAATGGCTGCAAAGCTGGCTATGAAAATGGCTTCCATATTTGGGGGAGAGAGTGATGAAGAGGAAATTTAGTTGATATAAGATGTTAGCTCTGTGAGATTCAGTTTTTAGTGTAAGGATACTACGATGAATGAACCACCATCACTTGGAAGAAGAGTAGTAACCTTTGTTGCGCAAGGATCAGGAGTTCCTTCATTTTTCTGCTCTCTGCTACTCTTGGTCGCTGCTGAACATGCTTCAAGATCAATTACTCCTGTTTTGTCATGTGCTGTTTAATAGCCCATATATTGTGAAGCAGAACATTTTGTTCAAAAAACTGAGTATGTGTGGGCATGTTCATGGTACTTAACATAGTGGTAGTGTTGTGAAAAACTAAGTTGGCTGACGTGGGCACTTGCTGCGATTTTGTAAGCGGGAAAATTGATTGAAAGGTACAGGCATGTCAAAATGTTTTAATTACATGGACAACGTGACAAATAGTCAGCTGGGTGACTAGTTGTTTCTTGAGGGGTAAGGATAAAAGTTGGCTTAGGCGTCTTTATTTATAACTACCCCCTTTAGTATATAATAGAGTGATCGAAGTATATGTATATTTGACAGTGAACTTATGCGTTTTTTGGTAACAACAAAAAACCAACTACTGTGTAGAAGTGTTAGGGAGAAGTTACAATTACCTTTCTTGAGCTGTTTGTGTTTCTTTTTTTGCTAACAATGTGGTAAGCGTAGTATAATGGTATTGCTATCATTAACTTAGGCAATAGTCAAGTTGGATGCTTATGAAGTATAAGGATCGTAAGGTAGTTTGAAATTCGGCTAACCCTTCTTAAGTGAGAGTCACAAGAGAAGATATAGGTAGAGTGAGAGTGAACAAGTTGCCTGCGGAGATGTCAAGTTCTGATAAGTCAGGTACTAAAGAAAAGGCATTGGAAAAGTTAGGGAAAAAGTAGGAAAGTAGCAACTAATTGATGAGTCCCGGCTCATCTTGGTTGACAAGTGAAAACAAACAATGTACGTGGCTTGGTGCTGTAAATATAGTGGGAGAAATGGATGTAATCTTTGGCAATCATGGTGCTTTCTAATAATGCATCCGGAGGATATGAAGAAAATATCGGCTATTGCTTTTTCGAGTCTCAACTTTCAACTTTGGTGGTGAGTTGTTCACACTAAAGCTGGACATGAGGGGAGAATAGAAGATAACCTAGGAAGATAAATGGTGGGTGGGACCTCAAAACATTATCATACTAAAATCAAATTTTGAAGATGCCATCAATTATCACCTTTCTTTGGGCATCAACGGTGTGGAACTCTTATAGTCCTCCCATTAAGAAAGATTTTCAGTTGATGGAAACAGGAATTAGGATAGATGCAGAAGAGGGACCATATAGCCAATGGGCATCTCTACCTTTATTATTATTTGTTTAAACTCTATAAAATAAACATCTACACTGCCTTTATGTCCCTCTTTTGTCTTATCTTACCCTTTACCTTAATTTTATTTTGTTTTGCCTCCATCTTTTACGGCATTTCCTTTTGCTAAAGATTTGTTTAATGAACATGTACCGAGGATCCACGCTTAGTGGAAATTAAGCTTGTTACAGAAGGTTGCTTGATAAATTACTACTGATGGTTAGCATTGAGCACTAATAAATGAACCTTATTCATTCATGATTCCCTTTTGACTAAAATGATTAACCTTATTCTCATTCAATGGCTGATTTGGCACAAATTTGAACACTTGCTTGGTAATTGATACAAATGAGTCCTTCTTAAAAGTTGTTACCCAACAAAAGAGCATAAAAAAAAAATGTAAAATCGGTTTTCTACGTAGACCAAAAACAAAATAGAAGACGAAAACCACTGCACTACTTGTTTGGATAAATGCACAGATTATGCTGGTTAGGTTTGTTCGGCTTTTATAAAGAACTTTTTCTGTCCTTGTGAAATTGGTTTAAAATCTCCAAAATTATATTTTAAAATTGATTTAAATTGACAAATCATTATTTTTAACTACCATTTCTTCCTCAATTCACTGCTATTATAATTATAACACGAGTAGAATAAAGACATTTCACTCGAGTCAAAGAAAAAAGAAGCTCTTGTAAATCATTAAAATTTTAATTTATAGAAAAAGTAGGAGCAATTCTTACCCAACCCAGAAAACGAGTCTTTATACAAATGAAGCAGGGTGTTAACAAGGGAAGATTGACCAAGTTTCATAAATTTATCAGCTTAAAGGGACATAAAAAAGAAGAAAAGAAAAGAAAAGAAAACCTATACGTACATACAAAATACTAGGACTGCTTTCAAGGCAAGAAACCGTTATTAACACTGTGGCTAATATTACAATTAGCATTAGTAGCGGCATTGGCATTGTCGCCATTCAAGAACTTTAACTCCCTTCCACCGGCAAAGGCGACGGCGGTGGCTCCGCCGATCACCGCCGGGTACTGGCCACATTTCTGGCACCTGGGCACCGCGAAGAGGGCGCGGCAGGAGGGGCACGAGGAGTGGGACTCAAGCCACTTGTCAATGCATGCCACGTGGAACCCATGGCCGCACTGCGGCAGCACCCGGACCTCGTCGCCGGCGGCGAACTCCGACAGGCAAATCGCGCACTCCGACGAGGCCACCAACTTGTTGGGGTTGCCCTCACCGTCGACGTAGTTGAACTTGGGCAGCGAGTCAAGTACTTTTTTCTTGAGACCCTTGTTGGCGAGGGTCTGCCTCGGCGAGTTTCCGGCCACGGCGACGGGGCCACGGCGGAGCCAGGCGCAGCGGGCGATGGCTATGAGGCCCACAACACATATGAGGGCGCAGAGAAGGGCCGCTAGGATCACGACGAAGTCTGATTCCACCGACACGGCCTCCGGCGGCGGCGCCGTAGTGGCGTTGTTTGTGGATTGGAGGATTCTCAGCGTGCGAGCCATGTTGAAGAGAATGATAGAGAGAGGAAAAGAAAGAGGTGTTTTGGGTGTCACGTTTTGAAAGATTCAATAATTGTGGTAAGTACTTATAGTTGAGAGGAGGTACTGTGTATGTGTGAGGATAAGAGTCAAGAGAAGAAGACTTAAAAAGACTTTTAAGAGAGAGAGAGAGAGAGAGGTGAATTTGAAGATGATGTTTGAGATAGTTCACTCACTTTCAATGGTTTGTGTTAGGTTTGATATAGGGGCAAGTTGGCTGCTTACGAGGGAAAGGTAGTGTGGGTAGGTGCCAAGGAGGTAATAGACAAATATGAATATGAGATGAAGCCTTGGTCTCCAAGCTGTTCTGTATTCCCCTAACCTTATCTGCTAAAGCCTAAATTGTATAAGACCCACAAGAATAATGATCATAAAAAAAAGGGCTATATTGTTTATGAGAAATACTTTTACTATGTTGTAGAAAAAAAAAATTATTTTATGGGACCCACAGGTAAGAGGAGAGAAAAAAAGAGTGGTGGGACCCAACCCTTTTTGTGTGTGTAAGAAAGTTGTTTATCTCATGTAAAATGAGATACACATAACCCATTGTTTATCTATTATCACACCAAAAAAAAAAAAAAAAACAAATGAAAAAAAATTATTTGCCTTGTGTGTTTAATACCTTGGCTGGTTTTTTCTTTCTTTCTTCATTAAATTTAAATTCGCGTGATTCTTAAGTAGAATGTAATTATAATGGTCACAAGAGAAAAAAAAAATAACATTCAATTAGTATTTAAATTGAGTAGTATGTTTTGTTTTATATATTTAAAAAAACTTCATTAAAAATTAAAAAAAAAAATTATTTTGATGAAATGAATGTATGCACGCATGTGTGTTATTGATGAGTGTCAGAGAATACTAAAGTGTGCTGAATCGCTGAATTGTTGGTATTTAATTAAGTGAAGTGCTATATTTTAGATTAAATTGTTTACAAACTCTTACAATCAAATTTTAATCATTGATTTTTTATTAATTTAATAGTTATAATTTATTGAGAATTAATAATCAATTAATAAGTGAGATCCAATAAATTATAATCGTTAGATTGACGGAAATCAACGGTTAAGATTTAATTTTAATAGTTTGTAAATATAATCATTCCAATTAAATATAAAAGAGAAGGTAGGTTTATAATATTGGAGAAAATAAATCATAAAGAGTATAGATGCCTAAGACATTTATGTCCTTTTATAAATATCTTCAATACAATAATTAAATTGAGAATAATAGCATTAAACTACAAGTTAGTTCATCATTCAAAGTCAAGAAATGTATTTTACACCCTTCATCTGAATGTGAATCTAACTTTGGCCATTTTAAATTCGTAGCACGAAAAGGAATACAGGCAAGAACGACCATCTTCAAGCCAATTGTACCACTAAGTTTAAAGTTTCGCCTTTGCTGCGGTATCTTACCAGCCCTGATTATGTTATCAACTTTTCATGCGTTCTAACCTACACTTAGCTTTATTGATAATTTAAATATAACCAAGAATAGCTAGTGGAGCTCTTCCTTTTCCTGATCTTGAAAAAAACAAAAGAGTATTTATGTGAATTTTTATTTGCAATTATGTACATGCTGTGATTACTTGTACGTACAAAGGAACATGTTCCCGTTTGTGCTCTTCTACTAAAGTCGAAATGGACTAATAATATGAGAAAAGCCAAAGAAACCTAAAGTCCAATGAGTTTAGGGCTAGGGTTTTTTAGAATCTTTATAAATACTACCACTTAATCATCAACCTCCAAGGTCATTGAACATAAGAGGTAAGCTTAGATCTGAAAAGTGCCCACACACTTCCCTTTCCTCCTCGATAGATAGTTTGGAAGGTTTACCAAAACCTAAAAAGATCTGTTCGTGCTGTGACATAGAAGAAATTAGTTCGCGATGTGACACAAAGGACTCTAGTTCGTGGAGCATCATCCCAGATCTGTCCTACAAGAGGTAATTGTAAACAATGATGATCCATTATATCCTAAACCGCAATGGTCTAAAACGCTTCCGCACATCCAATTTCTCCTACAATTGGTATCAGAGCTGGATTACGTGTTTGGATGCAGATCTAGTTTTGATTTAAAATTTTCATGTAACTAGTTTTGCTTTATGAAATATGGCACTTATGGTTCTATCTTTATTGGTATGATTTTTGCACGTGTATCCTTATAATTATTTTCATTAAAATCAATGCTTTATTTGGTTTTGGCTTTAATACATGGTAGAAATTTCTTTGTATTTTCTTGGGTTATAACAAGGAGGCTAATCCTATATGATTAGGTTTCCTCCTTGATTTTTATTTTAATTTTTTTTATATTTTCATTGTATTTCAAAAAAAAAAAAATTGTAATGTAAAAAGATCAAGAAGATGCAATGAGAAGGACATTCGTCACTATTTGGACGTGTTCGTGACTTTTCGATGGTCGATCTAAGAAACTAACCACATGGAGTGAAAGAGGACATAAAATCAAGCAAGAAGACAATTGGTTTTGACCGAGAAGAGGCCGGACGCGCCCTCACACGTCGTCGAAAGTGGTTGCGCGTGGCCGCCACTTTTCGGCATAGATTAGGCGTGTGTGGGGGCATGGCAGCTCCAATCGGGCTGGTTCCGGTGGCGACGACTTCCTCTCTTCAAGGCGGTCATTCCCCTATAGTTTTGTGCTAGGATGAGTTCGGGTGACGGCGCAGAAGACGTGACAACTAAGGTTCCTTGAAGTCGACTTAGGATTTCTTGCCAAAGTTTTGTATTTTGGGCCTATGGTTACAATAAAGGGGCTTGAAACAGAATCTATGGACTAAAAGGAAGGAGCAAATGGGCTGAAAAAGTTTTCTTTTTGTTTATTTTGTAATTTTTTTTTAGGAAACCATGGATTAAAGTTTTTAATTTTTAATCGCTTTATTTTTATGAATGGATGAATTATGTGATTGATAACATACTCTATGTGATAACATGCCTATAGGTGGTGCCATATTGTTGCAGAACTTGTAAATTACATTAGCATAGTAGCTATTATGTCTTCAGCGACTAGTATGATAGTCATTATGGGATTATTTTGATTTTATATTATTCTAAATAATTAATTACTAATTATTATGATTTGTGTTAATAATCTAGATTAATAATTGAAATAATTAATTTTGGATAATTAAAATCAAGACAAATGATCCAGAAAATTTCCTAAGAGAACTGTTTATTTTGCGAGTAAATTATGGTTATTCTAAAATAGTCATGTATAAACAAAAGATGCATACCACAATGATATATCATGATTGTGTGAAGCACACACTGCCTTTCATGACAGGATTTTAGGACCTTAATGATTTCAAAATTCCGATAAGCTAAGTGATGCACGTTCATCAGTGTGCTTGCTTACATAGTTTTGAAATCAAATAAAAATTACTCTCAATAGAACATTTCTTGGAATTTGGAAAATTCTAAATTTTAAAACATTGAATGGGTGAAGGTTTTAAATTAAGTATTTAATTTTAAAACATGCAGGCTCCATTTGTTGGTCCATTAATAAAACGGTCATGTTAAGCCCTAACGGATAAGCATGGTCGAATTTTATTTGATTGGACCTTAATAATTTCAAAATTTTAATAAGGTATTGTATGGCCCAACGTCAGCAATACTTGGATACTAAAGATAATTTTGAAATTAAACAATGGTTAATTACATTCAACTTTAGTAAAGTTATTAACCCTCTCAATGAGGCTCTGGTAATGGCACCGAAGGCCCAAATAATAATTTTAGTTTTTACAAGTGACTTGCCCAATGTAAGTCTTGTAAAGAAAACTAAAAGGATTGTTAACAATAAACGATGAGTAGTTATTAGAATCTACTTGCGATTGATTTGTTTATTGCATTTCTTGTTTGTAAACTGCGTGTTTTGTATGTTCTTTCAGAAAATGTCATCTTTCAATCCATTAGCTATTATCTTGAGTCAAAAAACCTATGAATGGTACAAACTACAAACAATGAAAAACTAATTTGGATATTGTTCTGCAATATGAAAACATGAACTTTGTCCTAAGTACCCCTAAGTCAGCGCAACCTGCTGAAAATGCATATGAGGTAACAAAGATGCAGTTTTCAAATTAGAAGAAGGCAAATATTGCAGTTCGCTACTACATTCTAGCCAGTCTCACCAATCACCTGTAAGAACAAGTGAGCATGATTGAGAGTTGAGCAGAAATGCTCAAGACTTTTGATGGCATGTTTGCTACTTCTAGCAGTTCTGCTAGGCTATGTTCTTTCAGAAAATGTCATCTTTCAATCCATTAGCTATTATCTTGAGTCAAAAAACCTATGGATGGTACAAACTACAAACAATGGAAAACTAATTTGGATATTGTTCTGCAATATGAAAACATCAACTTTGTCCTAAGTACCCCTAAGCCAGCGCAACCTGCTGAAAATGCATATGAGGTAACAAAGATGCAGTTTTCAAATTAGGAGAAGGAAAATATTGCAGTTCGCTACTACATTCTAGCCAGTCTCACCAATCGCCTGTAGGAACAAGTGAGCATGATTGAGAGTAGAGCAGAAATGCTAAAGACTTTTGATGGCATGTTTGCTACTTCTAGCAGTTCTGCTAGACTATGTTCTTTCAGAAAATGTCATCTTTCAATCCATGAGTTATTATCTTGAGTCAAAAAACCTATGGATGGTACAAACTACAAACAATGGAAAACTAATTTGGATATTGTTTTGCAATATGAAAACATCAACTTTGTCCTAAGTACCCCTAAGCCAGCGCAACCTGCTGAAAATGCATATGAGGTAACAAAGATGCAGTTTTCAAATTATGAGAAGGCAAATATTGCAGTTTGCTACTACATTCTAGCCAGTCTCACCAATCACCTGTAGGAACAAGTGAGCATGATTGAGTGTAGAGCAGAAATGCTCAAGACTTTTGATGGCATGTTTGCTACTTCTAGCAGTTCTGCTAGGCAGAATGCGCTGACTGCGGTCACCAAAATTATTATGACTAGAGGAAGTGTGCAGGATCATTATTTGAAAATCATAGCAAACTTCAAACGAGCAGATGAGAATAAGATCAAATTTTAACAATAGGTGAAAGTTGACCTTCTTCTACAATCACTGCTTGA